TGCTCACCTTTGGTTTTGAGGTGCCTGTTGAGGGTGCCGTGCTCGGCGAAGCCGCGCCCGCACTTGTAGCACTTGAAGGGCTTCTCGCCGGTGTGGTGGCGGATGTGGCGCACCAGGGAACCTTTCTCCCGGAACCCTCGGCTGCAGAAGTGGCACACGTAGGGCTTGTCCTCCAGGTGGGTACGGAAATGCACCTGCTGGGCGTTCTGCACGCACAGGGAGGCAAGGCAAGGGCTTAGAAAGGACACAGCTAAGTCACAGGGTTTTAGCTGCCAGGGTGCAACTCAACGTCTTTTACAGGACACCAGGATGACTTCCTGGGGTGGTGGTTTAGGAATGGTACTTCCCAAGTCAGTGCTCACACCATGACTCTCCAAACCATGAGGCACTCACTTGTTCCCCCCTCTCTCTCTCCCCATCTCCTTGCAGGGGGCTGGAGAGGAGAATTGGAGGCACAAAAGGTGAGGATCATGGACTGAGATAAGAACAATTTACCAGAAACAGAAATAAAACACTACTGATGACAGCGTGTTCAAGAAAGAGGGGAGCAACTCACCTGCCCTACAGAGGGAACCCCTTACCCCCACACCAGAATGTTGTAGCCATGCACCCTCTTGGCTACTGTAAAAATTAACCCCGTCCAGGCCAGAACCAGGACATTGTTATTACATACTTGTTCCACACACGAAGGAACAGTTTCTTCAGAAATGTGACGGTTTTACAAAGACTGTCCTTCCTTTTGCCCACTAAACTAAAACATCTTTATGGAGTTTCAGATCACAGAATCACTGAATGGTTTAGGTTGGAAAAAACCTTAAGGAACACCTTGTTCCACCCCCTGCCATGGGCAGGGACACCTTTCACTATCCCAAGTTGCTCCAAGCCCTGTCCAACCTGGCCTTGGACACTTGCAGGGATGGAGCAGCTTCTCTGGGCATCCCGTAAGAGGCAGGCGAGCTCTTTGAGGAGCAAAGCCTCCTAGCCTCTACCACAGCCTGGCTCTGGGGAGACCAGCACAGAGGTTTGGGGAGGGGGGCCCACCTTTGTCTTGTAGCGCTTGCCGCACTTGGGGCAGGCGTAGGGCCGCTCGTCCGAGTGCACGCGCCGGTGCCCCTTCACGTGGGCAATGGTCTTGTAGAGCTTCCCACACTCCCCGCAGCGGAACCGCCGCTCGTTCACGTGCACCTCCTGGTGCTTCTTCAGCAGGTAGCCCTTGGTGAACTCCTTGCCACACTCCTCACACTTGAAAGGTTTGTACTCTAGAGGCACAGAGAGAAAAAGGTGTGCTCAATCCAGGGCAAGGCGCAGCATGAGGATCTGGTAGGGGTGTGACTGAATTGGGACAAAAAGCACCCTGGAGAAGGGGATGAATTGTATTGTCAAGCATGTGTGTGGGCTTCCACAGAACCCCAAAATAGCTGGGGTGGGAAGGGACCTCTGGTGACCACCCAGTCCAGCCCCCTGCCCAGGCAGGGTCACCCGGAGCAGGTGACACAGGAACGTGTCCGGGTGGGTTTGGGATGTCTCCTGAGGGAGACTCCACACCCTCCCTGGGCAGCTGTTCAGGGCTCTGCCACCCTCACTGCAAAGAGCTTCTTCCTCATATCAACATGGAACTTGCTCCCCATCCTGTCACTGAACAGAGTCTGGTACCATCCTCTGACACCCCTGGGAGGGATTTTATGGAGTGATGGGATCCCCTCTCAGCCTTCCCTTCTCCAGACTGAGCAGGCCCAGCTCCTGCAGTCTCTCCTCATCAGAGGAGCTGTACAGGGCTGAGGTCACTGAGCCCCAGCTCGTGTCACACAGCAGCCCCAGCTGCACTTTACCTGTGTGACTCTTGCTGTGAGTTTCCAGGGCAGCAGCTTCGTTGAAGGCTTCATTACAGTGAAAGCAAATGTAACGTTTGTACCCGTTGGTTCTTTCTGCAGGCGTCTGCTGGAGAGAAAATGGGAAAACTGCATTTCTTTTCTTTGTACTGGTGTGTCCAGTTAAGATTGCTACCCAAATTCCCAATTACACACTGCAGCTTTGACAGGAAAGAGATCTCTGTTGTGAAAAGAGACAGAACGTGTGAGAAGGAACCCTTCCCTTAAATCACACCTGCACAATATAACTCTAAAACCTGACACAAAGCCACAGGCACAGGCAGACACATGAGACAACAGTGCTGCCCACAACCAAATAGAGACAAGGAAAGTTAAAAAGTTGATCTGTTGATGGAATACAAACATACAGACTCTGCTCCTTCCGGTTTAGCACACTGCTCCCCACACGGCTCCTCTTCTACTTCCACCCCTTTGCTTTCCAGCTCTTCTGGAGCAGCTGCTGCAGGTTCATCTGGCTTCTGCACCTCCTCCACAGCCACTCTCTCGATGACAATCCCCGAATTCCTCATGGCCTGCCTCAGCAGGTTCTCACTGTTCACTTCCCCCTCGCATGGCAACTCCTCGGGATGCGAGTGCTGAAGGAACAAAGAGGAAGTCTGGCACAGCAAACCCACAGATTTTTATGGGAACACTGCTGTGAGGGCCACTCTGGGGTGTCCAGTGCTGTGCTATGGGGTTGAAAGACCAACCCGGGAATACCTTGGGCTGAGGAGGAAGATGAGGTGGATCTGTACTCTGACAACCCACAAGGGATGACAAGCCCACCAAAGGAACCCCTTCATTCCACACAGATTTACTGTCAGGACCCAGGACACTTCTCCTCACGAGGTGAAACTTTCTTTGCATAAAACACCTGGAGGGTGTTTGAGACAAACACCACTCACATCTGGCTCCAGGGGTTTTGCATCCACCACGGGAAGTTCCTGCATCTGGACGTGGACCTCATGGAGCACGTTGCCTTTTGCGTCTGTCACGAGGTGGATGACAGGGGAGGCCTCGATGGATTCGCTGGCTATGGAGGACACCGTGTCTGTGGTGGAGCTGCAGGGTCCTGCAAGGGATCAACCACGTGGGGAAATGCACCCTCAGCAACTCCCTGTGCCCCACAAAAACCTGCCTGAGAGCACGAGGTGCCTGTTAACACCACCTTTGTACCAGATTCTCAAACAGTCTTGAGTTCACGCCCGGCTTCGAGGTAACAACTTTGCTCTATAAATTACTTTTTTCAAGGTAATAACTTTGCTCTATAAATTACCTTTTTCTGGTATAAAAAATATAAATTCAACACCATGAAATTATTTCTTATCATAAATAAGAATCATGAAATGGTTGGGGCTGGAAGGGATCTTACAGGTCGTCCAGTTCCACCCCCTGCCATGGGCAATGACACCTTCCACCATCTCAGGCTGCTCCAAGCCCTGTCCAATCTGCCCTTGGACACTTTAGGGACAGGGCAGCCACAGCTTCTCTGGGCACCCTGTGCCAGAAGGAATTTCTATTCCAAGTGCTCTGAGGGTTTGGCTTTATCAGACAGGAGGCAGGTCCTGGCAGCATCACTGACCTGATGGCAGATCATCTTTGTTGACAACTATTTCTTTGGTCATGTTGAAGCGGATTTTTTCAGTGCAAGGTGTCAGAGATTTAAGGTGCCGAGTCAAAGCTCCTGATTCCCGGAAGCTTTTCCCACATTTCTTGCATTTGTAAGGTCTTTCATCTGGAAATGACAAGAATCAAAACAATCATGTTAAAGCCAGCTCTGCCAGGATCAGCTCTGTGTGACAGGCTGAAGAACATGTTCAGCCTTCTACAGCACACGGCTGCTCCAATCCCAAACCTTCCACTGCCTCCCAGCACCCCAAATGCTGGAGAGCTCAATGGTCTCAGCTCAGCAGAACATGGGAAGCAGTAAGGAATTCCACTGGAAGGGAGATGGACAACCTCAGAGAGCTCCAGTAACAAGGAATTCTTATCTGGGAGGACTCTTACCCGTGTGCCGCCGATGGTGTCGGATCAGAGATCCCTTTGTCCTAAAGGAAGTCCCACAGAGTTTACACTCATAGTCCTTCCTGCTGCTATGCGTGATCATGTGAGCTTTGAGGATGCTGGCCTAGGGAAAGAATTTCCTTTAAGACACATTCCAAATAGTTTACAAATTTTACATTCGAGCTGTTAAGAACAACAAGGCTCCTTGTGAAAGCAGAACTTCCCTCTGGGAAGTGTGGCAGGCAGTAAAGCACACTGTTATTGGGACTCGGGATCTCTTAGTTTGCAGCCAGCCTAAAAGGCTCCCTAACCCACACCAGCAGAGGGGATACTCACAGTTTTAAATGTCTTCTGGCACAGCTCACACACGTATCGCCCCTCCTTGTTCACCTGCAGCTTGACCTTGATCAGCTCGGTGGAAATATCCTGCTCCTCGGGGCTGCCCTGCTCCTCACTGACCTCCCCATCCACGTGGCCATTCGGGTTCTCAAACACATGCTCTCCTGCTACAATGACCTCTTTGATGTGCCCACTGCCTGGGAAAAGGTGGGGAGACAGTGGGGTTCTTTACGGGCAGCAAACCATCTACTGCCTCAGCATGTCATGCAGGAAGGAGGAGAAAAGATATTTTAAACTTGCAACTCCGGGCTTTGCAACCTTCTCATTATGGCAGCATAAAATGGGCACTTCTGGAACAGAGTATAACATCTAATTTGTATTAATTAGTTGCATTAATTAAGCTGAAGGAGAGTAGATTTAGAATAGAGATCGCAAAGGAATTGTTCCCTGTGAGGGAGGTGAGGCCCTGGCACAGAGTGCCCAGAGCAGCTGGGGCTGCCCCTGGATCCCTGGCAGTGCCCCAGGCCAGGCTGGACAGGGCTTGGAGCAGCCTGGGACAGTGGGAGGTGTCCCTGCCATGGCAGGGGTGGCACTGGGTGGGCTTTAAGGTCCCTCCTAACCCAACCCAACCCATCCCACGACTGTTCCATGACCTGATGGAGGAGGATTGCAGAGCTGCCTCCCAGAGCTCTGCAGGAACAGCCCCAAATGCCAGTGACACAGAGGTGCCACCCACCCAACCACGACCCAAAGCCACCAGAAAAGGTCACAGATGAGGGAACAGAGCCCTCGGGCTGCCAAGGCACCCCAGAGCTCACCTACGATGGCCGAGGCGTTGCTGATCTCCTCTGCTATGGAAGACGCTTCAACAACAATGTGAGCAACGGTGATGGACTCCTCGACAGCAGGAACCACCTGCCGGCACAGAGCACGTTCCAGCAGGCGCCTCCTGCCTGCCTGACCACGCTGCTCCCTCCCCTCCAGCCCAACAGACCGCTGCATCCTGATCACTTCCAGGAGCAGCCGCTGTCACCTTTTGTCCTTCGGGGCCGAGGAGCCCGGCGAGCGCGTCGGGAGGGCGCTGGCAGCCCTTCTGCAGCTTGTGCTGCACGAACTCCTGCAGCGAGCTGAACTCCGACTGGCAGCGCCCGCACTTGTGCACGTCATCCTCGTCTGCGGGGGAAAAGCGTCAGCGGGGCCGGGACACGGCACCGGGACACGGCACCGGGACACGGCCCCGGGACACGGCGCCGGGACACGGCGCCGGGACACCGCGCCGGGCTCACGGGGAAGGCACCGCGGCGGTCGGTGCGTTCCCTGCTGCCTGCCCCGGCACGGCAGCCGGCCCGGGATCCGGTTCCAGACCGGCCGGAGCAGCTCCCCGGCCTCTCCCGTCACCGGGATCCCGTCCCGAGGGGCCGGAGCCGCTCCCCAGCCTCTCCCGGCACCGCCGCCCCGGCACACGGCGCCCCCGCCGCCTCCCGCCCCGCTGGCGGCACCGGCCGGCCCCGTCGCGCCGCGGGCCCGTGCGGGCGGTACCTTGCTCGCCGAAGGGCGGCGGGAGGCCGATGAGGGCGGCGGGGGGCGCGGAGGCCGCGCTGGCCGCGCCCCGGCCCGGCCCCGCCGCCGCTGCCGTAAGCGCCGCCGGCCCCGCGCCCGTTGCCATCGCGGCCCCCGTGTCGCAACGCGCCGCAAGATGGCGGCTTTACGGCCGTGTCGTCATAACAACGGGACGGGGCTCGGCGGGGAACGCGCCCGCCCGTGCGGGGGTGCCGGGAGCCGGCGGGGCGGTGTCGGAGCACGGTGCCTGCGCTCCCCACGGTCACGGTCGAGCCCCGGCGGAGCGGAGCGGATCGCGGGCAGTTACCGGCGAGTTGCCGCGGGTTGTCGAACGCGTTACCGAGCGAGCCCCGGGGCGCGCTGGCCAATAGCAGCGCGCGGGGGGCGGGCCCTGGGGCAGGGCGGCCAATGAGAGCGCGGCGCGCCGGGCGACGCACGGGAGGTCGCGGGGGGACACCGGGCGCCGGCTCCCGGCGGGGAGGGCGTGGCCGCCGGCGCCGCCGCCCAATGGGGACGCGGTCCGCGCGGGGCGCGGCCAATGGGGAGGCGCGGGCGGCGGGCGCGCGGGGCGGCGGCGTGGCCATGGCGGGCGCGGCGATGGCGGCGGGCGGCCCGCGGCGCTGCCGGCGGCTGGAGGGCGAGGCGGCGCGGGCCGTGCTCGCCAACGCCGACACGCTGCTCTTCGACTGCGACGGCGTCCTGTGGCGGGGCGAGGCGGCCGTGAGCGGCGCGGCGGCGGTGCTGGGCAAGCTGGCGGCGGCGGGCAAGCGGCTGTGCTACGTGACCAACAACAGCGGGCGGACGCGCGCGGCCTACACCGAGAAGCTGCGGCGGCTCGGCTTCCCGCCCGCCGAGCCCCGGCACATCTTCAGCTCGGCTTTCTGCGCCGCCCGCTACCTGCGGCAGGCGCTGCCGCCCGGTGCCGCCGCCTACGTGCTGGGCAGCGCCGCGCTGGCCGCCGAGCTGGAGGCCGTGGGCATCCCGCACCTCGGGCCCGGGCCCGCCGCCCTGCCCGGGCCCGCGCCCGCCGACTGGCTGCAGGCGCCGCTGGAGCCCGCCGTGCGCGCCGTGCTGGTGGGCTTCGACGAGCACTTCAGCTACGCCAAGCTGTGCCAGGCGCTGCGGTACCTCCTGCGCGGCCCCGACTGCCTCCTGGTCGGCACCAACCGCGACCACCGCCTGCCGCTCGAGGGCGGCGCCGGCATCCCCGGTGCGCGGGGTCCCGGGGAGCAGCGGGTGGGCCCCGGGCTGGGCGGGCGCCGTGCGCGGCTCTGCGGCTCGTCACGCCTCGCTGGTGTGTTGGTGAAACGGGAGAGGTTCCGCCTCAGCCTCGGGAAGGAACTTTCAGCCCTGGGATGTGGCAGAGCGCCCGAGCAGCTGCCCAGGGCGGGGAGGTCATGGAGGCTCCGTCTCTGGAGTTCCAAGCTCGCCTTGGCACGTTCCTGTGTCACCTAACCCAGGTGACCCTGCCTTGTAGGGGGGTTGGACTGGATCATCTCCGGAGGTCCCCTCCAGCTGTCCTGGGATTCTTTGAGGCAGCCTGGGCATCCCATAGCCTTTCCTCCACAGCTTCACTGAAAGAGAGGAAATCCTTATTGATCCTTTACTTGCAAATAGGAGTTCCCTCTTGACGTTGCGGGTCGGAATTCCCACCTCCTGGCAGGCTTTAAGCACCACCTCTCCTGGGCCCCACCTGTCTCTTTGCCTGTAAAGCTGAGGTGTCCATTCCCCATGTCCTGAGAGGGTTTGTCCTGTCCATTCCCCGCGTCCTGAGAGGGTTT